CTCACTTGTGAATGTCAAAAGCTTCTTCATGTCATAAAAACAGCTATTGCTAACAAGTGACTTAATAAACTACAAACTTCATCATGCTTTCACAAGTCCGCCGTTAGCTTAGCCGTGGTGATGCGCAGAAATGGGACTGTGATGTAGTTTGTTAAAAAAATCACAAAGTGGTGCCAAAAAGCTTATTATCTGCGAAATATATGATATACGAAGATGCCATATGATATGCCACCCCTGCACCACTCTATACTTCCTCATTGCAAAAACACCATAACAATGAAAAATGTAGTTAAAAGATTGTCAATTTACAGAGCAAATATAAGTTTTCTAAATCATCATATCCAGGGTATGTGCAGGAATCCTGAAGTCAAATGTAATACTTTTTAAAGACCTTTTTTAAGACCCTTTCCGTACATTTTAAAACCTCATCGCCACTTCGAGTTTTAACCGGTTACCTTGACGACACACTTTACCTCACATTGACTATATACACTACAGTATTGATTGTCCTTCCTCCTTATCTTCCAACCATTTGGACGCAGACTTGCATTTCCCCATAACGATGTTGTTTAACAACCGGCGTAAACGGACCTTTGCTCGCTATCAAGCAGTGAGCGTGCGATGTCCTGTTCATATGACGTCAAATCCAACGGGATGCCATAAATAAACTACACAGAATCACACTACACACCTACGCAATGATTACATTCAGGCAGACTGTAGAATACAACCTCTTTGGACAATTCATATACTTATTGAAAACAAGCTACAAAATGTAATACCTTGGAAAATGATGTTTAATACTTTTTAATAGCCTTCATTTTCGCTAAATTGATTTATCAACTTTTAATACTTTTTAAGACCCCGCGGACACCCTGATATCGTCTTGGGTGTTTCAGCTTTCACATCCGCATGCATTAGCTTTAATTACCCTGTTTCACCATCTCCCTACTTTCCAAACCCTGACCCCTGTATATTAAACAGGCTGAACTGAGCAGTGGAGGCAGTAGCAGTGCAGTGTAGAAACAGGCCTGAGTGTGGATGACAGGCCTAACAAGCTAAATATAGCCTTCTGGGTTATCTCCTCTGTGGGCGCAGCCAGTCCGTTGTTGCTTCACATTATTTACGTGTCTGTGCGTGGTGCACCCGCTCTCTCTTCCCCTCTCTATCTCTCTTTCTTTCATTTCACGCCCCCCCACACAAACACATCGCTATCTCTTTCTCTCGCTCTGTGTTGCACATAGTCTCCTTTCTCTCTCTCCATTTCATCCTTTCACAGCATCTGTTTTCACCCTCCGTCTCTCCTCTCTTCTCTCCCTTGGTATCTCATTTTGTCTCTCTTATTCCGTTTCAGCTTTTCCTTTCCCCTCTCTATCCCTCCATATCTCCTCTATCACTCCCTCCCTCCCCTATTTCATTCTCTTTATCTCTGCGTCCCTTTGTATCTTTCCCTCCCTCAGCTGCTCCCTGTTTTTCTTTTTGTCTGACACTCTCTGAGCCTTTTTTCCTCTCAAGCTATCTTTCCCTTTGAGCCTCTCTTTCCCTCCTCTATCTATTTTTCTCTCCATTTTTCTCTTCCTCTCATTTCTGAGCCATGCCCATGAAGCTGCATAGCACTGTGTAAGCCGTCCACTACAGCACAGTCAGCCCCAGTTCAAATAATACAGCCTGGAGTGCTAACCGCCTGCTATGCTAACATACAGTACATGGATGTGGCATCTGCTTCTGAAGCGACATGAACTTACACACAACATAACGCAGAAGACACTCTCGTGCTTATCTCTTACTCTTTAGTTTACTAACAGTGCAGGGGACTCAAAGGCCATGACATTTAATATGCACAAAGTTTGATCAAATGTCTTCCATAGCCTCTGTCCAAGGAAAGATACAAAGTTGCATGCGAAGAATGTGGATGTGAGTCTGTTCTCATTGTTGCCTTGCTGCACTGTAGTCGTGTGAAACCACTGCTAAAAGGGGGAGTGTCTGACTTTAGGTACGTGCTAATGTTATTCTATTTTACATGTAAATAGTGTACTTCTTACTAGGGCTGCTCAATTAATCGTATTTTAATCGGAATTACGATTATGGCTTGCAACGATTACGAAAACAACGGAATTTTTTTTTTTTTTAATTCAATTTTTTTTGTAGGCCTTTTGGTTTTTCAGTTGAATTATACTTAAAGTTCAGGATAATCAACTGTTAAAAACATACTGTTCAAAAAAAAATCTCCAATAAATTGACGTTTTCAAAGTAAATGGATAATCGTTGATTATATCAATTATTGACCCAAATAATCGAGATTATGATTTTTGCCATAATCGAGCAGCCCTACTTCTTACACGTTGACCTGCACATTGGTCAATTGCGACATTCTCTTGCACTATTTTCTTTCTGTTCTGTTTCTTTCTTGCACTATATGACTTGAGCTTTTCATTGCCATAACTACACAGCAGCTACTCTGCATATGACCAAATCTGGGTGTTTTTGATATAGCTGTGGTTTTTTGGAAGGTTTTCTTTGTGTGTGTTCTGCTCTGTATCATTATGTGCACATGTTTCTTCCAGTACCAATTTGAGAAGCATAGTGAGGATATTTTTATAAAGATAGGTTGGTTAGACTAGTCATTCTGTTTTGAAAAGGACCAGTTGAAGGTGAGTTTAAAAATCCTAAAAAGAAACCTGGCTTTTTGAGATTTTGAATTTGACAAGTAGAGATGCACCCGCTAGTCTCATATTTGCATGATGATTTCATGTTGAGCAGCACACAGTGGCACAAAAACTCACACGCACGACATGCAACAACACTGAAGCAGCTGCGGCACACAGTACGCTTCAGACCTTCACACACACACTTGTCATCATGTCGTCGGTGTTGAAGTTCTTCAGCACGAGTGAAGAAGTCATAAAGCTCACAATTTGTAACACCTGCAAGTTCAAAATAAACCGAGGAGGAAGTGTGGCTCGGTATGGTTGCAATGTGGGTGGCATGTTCAAATAAAAAAAGATGTTTGGCTTTCCAATAAACCACATTACAACGTTACCATGCCAACTGGTTGAAAGTCGGATAAGTTTCCTTCTAAAAACATTTGAAACAGCTGTGTTGTTATTTAGTTTTGTTGCAACTGTTTTATTCCGGGAACATTTATTTTGAGATTAGTTTGAGTGAGAGGTCGCAGGTACAGTAAAACTTCAGAAAAAAAGTTTTTGTATCAGCCAAGAAAAATGTCATCTCTACTTTTAAGTGTACCTTTGTTATTTTTGTGAAACGACGCCCACTTTGGTCACAAGCACTGATTAAAGTAGCCCAATTATGCTAATCTTCAGGTTCATATTTGTATGTTGGGCCTACTGTGACATGCTTACATGCTTTAATGTTCAAAAAGTGATTTATTATTTGATCACTCGTAAAATATTTTAAACACACCATTTGTAAAGTATTAATGCTATGACATTATCAAACAGTGTATTTGATTATATAGTCAAACTGTGATTTGACAGGTTTTGATTTAATCAGGCACTTAATGTCAGTCATTACAGGAATTAGGATAAGTTGGGGCCTGAGGAATAACGTAATGGTAGATCCTCACAGGAAGAGAAGAAGAAGTAGTGTGTGTTTGTGAAGATGAATGGACGTGTGTATCTCCTGTGTGTTTGTGTGTGAGTGTTGTATCTGTTATCTGCTGTCTGTCTTCCTGTCTGTCTGTGTGTGCTTCTTTATCCGTGTGTCTGCCCGCCTCTCTCTCTCACACTCAGTCTGTTTGTCCATATATCTGCCTGTCTGCCTCTCTCTCTCTCCATCTGTGTGTCTATCTAGCTTACGGCCCTGATCCCGCCTGCTCTCCCAGGTTTATGAAATGCGAGCAGCTTAGCAGATGGTGCATATCGTATTCTGGTCGGCTCTGTGTTGGTTTTGTACCACAGACGAAGGCTTACGATACATGTGAGCCTTTAGTCGCTCAGACACACCGACGCAGAGGGAGCTCGGGCTGTTAGCGCACGAGAGAAAACAAAAAGACGAAGCCGAGACTGAAGTAGGGGGAACAAACGGGAAATGATATGGATAAAAGAAGAAGTAGGTTTAAGAGGAAAGTTTTAAGGGAGCAAGATAAAAAAAGTGTGCAAGAAACCAAAATACTAGCTCAGTAGTGGTTTGTGCAACTTTTAACATTTTAAACTATATGCTATTACACATATTCAAATGTGTATACAAATCAAAAATAACATGTTTTTCAAAGAAGATAATGATCAGTTATTAAAGCAGCCCTATTATGCTCATTTTCAGGTTTCACATTTGTATTGTGTGTGTGTCTCTATGGTGACATGTCTCCATGCTTTAATGTTCAAAAAGCTCTTTATTTTCCTCATACTGCCTCTTTTCTCCCTCTGTCTGAAACCAGAGCCCAGTCTGCTCTGATTGGTTAGCTGGCCCGGCTCTGTTGTGATTGGTCAACCGCTTAGAGATGTCCCGCCCCTTAGCCTATCACGTACAATGTGTTGGAGCGCTAGCCAATAGAAGCGGGAGTGTTACATAGTGATGTCATTATGTTCCAGAAGTAAGTACAATGGAGGCATATATCACACTACAGGAAAGGGAAAAACCCCAAAAAGCGTAATAGGGCCCCTTTAAATAAAATAGTGTTTTTTCAAAGTTGTTTTTAAGCCACACGTCAGTTCAATATGACTCAAACGTTAACATCTGTTTTGGAAATGTCTATTGCCTTGGGGTTGTTTGTTTTTATAAACAGCACATTGATGTGAACGGAATGAGAAGTTGAAGCAGAGAAGAGAAAATGTATCTTGAGAGAGAAGAGCCAACAGATCTTTTACTCCTGAATGACACTAAATATACACTAAATGCAGCAAAAAAACTAAGCGCGGACTCAATTCCCCTGATTGCAACTCCTATGTAAGAACCCATCAGACTCTGTTCAGAGGTTCTGATTGGCCCAGACACATAAGAAATTCCAAATACAGCTGTGGTAAAGGTCTGATTGGACTCACCATGATGTAGTGCCTCTGCATCTCCGTCTTCTCACTGGCCAGCTTCTCACACTCCAGTTTCAGGCTGCACAAGGACGGAGGAAGGACACACGTGGATTAAATGGTGTATTTAAATCCACTGAAGTGAATTATAATTTCCACAGGATATTGCAGAGGTCAAACCGAGTTTAATGCTGTGTAAGGATACCTAAAAAATATTCTCAGGCTACCTATTACTGCTAAAAGTGACACTGAAAGATATCACCTTCATGGAAGCAAATGCCAGCAGGGTGTGTGTTTTATTCCCCTCTACAATTCATCACACGTCCATGTGAGGTCAGTTTCACAAGTCCTTCTGTGTCTAGTTATATTCATCATGTGTACATTGGTGAGTTTATATAAGAGTACTGTCAGTGAGCCCAAAAGGGTCCTGATAAAGTTTTGCATGTCATGTCAGTTTGCTTTTTCAATGCATCTCATCCAAGTGTGGTATAGTACATACAAAGCGCTTTCAAATGTGTTTCAACTGCATATTGTATGATAAAAAGAAAGTGAATAAACGATTCTTTATACCAGCCACTGCTTTGTGATGAGAAGAAACTGTAATGTGCTAACGATGGATAAAGAGGATGTGATACTATTTATGTCATGTGTGTATTATAATACAGTGTGTGTGTGTACCTGTGATACTGCGCCTGGAGGAACTGGAATTCCTCCTTGATACGGTCCAGGGTCTCCAGGACGGTGAATTTGAAAGACTGGCCGGGTTGTAAAGGAACCTGAGCAGGAAGAAGAAGAAGAACGACATAATAAAAAAAACTGAAACTCAGGTGTGTGTGTGTGTGTGTGTGTGTGTGTGTGTGTGTGTGTGTGTGTGTGTGTGTGTGTGTGTGTGTGTGTGTGTGTGCGTGCGTGCGTGTCAGGGAGAAAGGCAAAAGGAGAGAGAAGCTAAGATGAAAGTGAGAGGGAAGGTCACTCTCCTTCCCACACATCATAAAGCTGTGTCCTCTCCCCCCTCTGTTCCCCTCCTCTAATGACTCTGCCTCCTTCCCTCCTCTCCCTTTCTTCCTCTCCTCTCCTCTTCCTCTCTTCCACATTAGCATCCTCTCCCCTCTCCCCTCTGCCGGGCTGCTAATGTATTCCAGCCTACAAAGAGCTGAGAAGGGAGGAAGCGTCAAATGAATAACTTATAGGGAATCACGGCTCCGTCTCTCACACCTGCTAAAAGCTAAAGAAGACCCAACAAAACAAACACCTCCCTGGGGTTGACCTCCACACCCCCTCCTCCTCCTCCTACTCCACCTCCACCTCAACCTCCTCTCCCATAAAGCGCTTTCTACAGCTGCCCTCCTTCAGGTTCGTGTTCATTGTGTGTCAGAAGGGGGGGGGGAGTTATCGTCCAATATAAAGCTGTATAACCGCTGTAACTGTCTGAGGTAAAGGGTCTTCAGGGTTAGCTGTAGCTCGGCAATCAGTCTGCTCGACCACTTTATAACCTGAGTGCGAGAGTTTCTGCTCCTTAAAGACACGTTACCAAACCCTGACATTAAAGAAAAGGACAGAACTAACTCGATAAAACGTGATAGCCATGGTTTTATTCATGTTAAAATAGGACAGTTTCCTAAGTCAATACAAACGCTGGTGCCATCTTTTGCACACAGCTTCACAATTTGCTTCATAGCTCCTCAATATTCTTCATGAAACAATAAGCAAGGGCACTGTTTTTTTGTGTTTGTTGTTGTTTATTTTTGGCAACAGGGCTTCAGTTTGAAAACAGAGTAAACAGAAGTGGTTGTGGAGATTTCTATGTAAGAAGATTCTTCCTGTCCATAAATTGCTTTGGCTAATTCCCCCTGCACGGTGGGGAGGACGCAGACTGCCAGGTGTCTCTGCCACTTCTCCTCACCTGTCAGTGATCAGCCTCAGCAGGAGGATTGAGCTTCCTGCTACGATCCAACCTCCCTCTGACGCTTTTACTGCAAAGGCAGGTACTTTTCATCAACACCCCCCCCACCTCCGTAAACCCTGCACACACTGTATGATAAGAGTCTCAGCTGAGGACATGGCCAAGATTGTGGGAGAGTAAGTTTCCCTCTATACAAACATTTCCAACCTAAATTACACACTGATGCAGCAAGTAAACAACCCTGAGCTTGAGTAGAGGATTTTTTTCAAATGGTATCGTGTTCATGCAGGTGTGCCAAAAAATGCAACACCGAGGAGTCATGCAAGAATGACTAACTAGTATCTTAAGTACAAATGCACCTATCATAATCAGATGTTTCCGTGTGTGTGTGTGTGTGTGTGTGTGTGTGTGTGTGTGTGATTTAGTTTGTCCCGTATCCTCGGCACTTTTATTTTGAAATGAGTTTCCTTTGACCAGTATTGGGCGCCCCTAAACAGCAAAGACACAAACCACAGCTTATTGGCATAGGCTGGGATTTGTCAAAAATAAAAATGCTGGTTGGGATGTATGTATGTACCTAACTTTAAATTTAACAACACCTGTGATAAAACCATCAAACATCCATCCAGCATGCAAGTAACCCGAGCTCTATATCTATCGCTCCACCCATACGTCGGCACGGTGCAGCTGGGTGGCTATCGGCCTGCAGCTATACGGCTAAGAGATTGGTGGTTTCAGTGACGGGGCTTCATTAGTCTAGACAAGCACAATTCAATTAGATTTCAATTAGTCCGGCGGTGGAGGTCAGGGACGCGGTGGGTTCCCCAGTAATTAATCCAGGGGGGCGAGCTGAGCCGAGCTAAACTGAGCCGAAGTAGGAGGAGCGGGACATCTAGATGGGCAAAACACACACAAACCATCTGGGTGTGTGTGTGTGTGTGTGTGTGTGTGTGTGTGTGTGTGTGTGTGTGTGTGTGTGTGTGTGTGTGTGTGTGTGTGTGTGTGTGTGTGTGTGTGTGTGTTTGTGGGCGGCAGAGAGGGAGGGGTTAGATGGGATGGATGAGAATGAGGGAGGGGGGTGTTTGCCAACAGATCCCCACTGACCTTGATTCGCACCACACACACTAAGTGGGCAAGGGGAGGGGGGAGGGTAGATAGTGATCTGGCACACGCAGATACACACACACACGCCCACACAGCCATTGACAAACACTCTGTGCAGATTTAGAGCTACACAGGGAAACAAACACCTAACGTGGGATGGAGGGATGGATTGATGAGGAGCTGAAGTGACATGTGATTGAAATTATTACCACTAAAGACCAAGCACACACCTACTCAATAGATGGGGGGGGGGGGGG